TGCATGTGAATTTTTCAGATAAAATGTAAGATTTCCAAGATATGATGCCGTTATCCTATAAAAGAGATACTTGAATGAAAACAAACTTACGAGAAATTATCAGAGGATTAGGACAGTTGTGAGGAATGATAAAAGACCCAAGGATAGTCCTAGATTTGTCATTGGTTAATTGTGGCCTGAGAAATAGGGTTTCATCACTTTATTCCCAAAGATGTCACCTGTAAATTAAGACTTGAACACAAACAGATTCTAGTTTGATTTTTATTCAGTAAAGGAGGTATTTATACCACAGAAACCACTAGGAGACGATGTAGACAGCATCTATAAGATACAGGTATGGGACATATCAAAAAGTATTCCAGTTGCCTAGGAATGAAGGCCAGTGATTGACAGCTGGGACCTCATGAAACTGCAAAGCTTCTGTACAGCAAAGGATTATAGTCTTTCAAAGAATTCTTCTCAGGACTGCTAGAGGCTGTGATCTTAGGCACATTTGTTCTTGGGACTGTTGTTAGATCAACGGTTCACAAATACGATGCTTTACATTCATTATTTAACTTTCTATAGAATCACCTTTGGTATGTGAAAATAAGAATGTTGCCAGTTTCCTGTGCTGATTGTATTACAAACCCGTCTCCTCATTCCAGTGTCACACACCCCACCACTGCCATAACAAGCCACCTAGGCATTGACACCCCAATTTCCCAATTCGTCATGTTTGTGATTGCTTGTCTGCTTACCTGCCTCCACTACAATGAAAGGTCCCCTGGTGTGTTTCCACATTCTAATAGTGCCTGGGATATGATACTAGGACTCCGTGGAATGGTGTCCGAGAGTGAGTATGTGTGAATGGAGGGGCAGGAGTCTATGCTAGCCTAGGGTTCGGTTCGTCAACAGGTATTCTGTAAAGAAGAGCCCTGAAACCCCAGGAGACCTCTTTACTATGACAAGATTTGAGAGGTCTTGTAGAGACAGAGTGAGACTGAAGAGACTTCTCTGCTGGGCCTCCTCAGTCATATCAAAACCACATTTTACTAGCAGGTAGGCACTCCATAAAATCTAATGCATATGCAGTTTGCACTTCCCTTTCCATACCCTCAGGCAATATTTTCAAATAACCTCTTTTAAAAACTGGAAGTGCTTGGCTTATAGAGTAACTCCGGTGAAGTGAGAGCTGTGAGGTATATTAGTTTAAACTCTGACACCAGTGTTAAAGAACAAATTCTACTGGGTAAGTAATCCAGAAAATTAATTTTGAAACAATTTAAAGGATTTTGTGGCAGAAATATCCCAAAGATATTTCAGCTCAGGGAAACCGCAGGAAAAGAAGTGAAGGAGACGTGGAAGAGAAATGATTTCAGGAATTTCTTCAGTAGGCTCCCACAGTCTGCCGTCTTCATTCTTTCTCCACAGTTCACCAATATTTGGAGTCTCTGCCCATTGGAGAAAAGGTGACAATGCCCTGCCCATGACTTTTTAAATCTGACCTAGGCTACAATTGTTTGTTGCTTGCATACTTGCTTGGTGATGGGCTTTAGTTTTGTTGTTGTTTTGCTTTTGTTTTTTTCAGTCCTGTTTGGTCTCTTGAGGGAGTTTCCAGATGAAGCCCAGGCTACCCTTAAATGTGTTCATCATCCTGCCTCAGCCTTACCAGTGCTTTGTTACAGGTTTATGCCACCATGCCTACTGTGGCCGCCGTGTCCTTGTCCTCTTTGGGTGAGCCACTCTTCCTGGTCCAATTGACAAAGGCCAGGAGCAAAGATGGAATGCCTAAACTACTGACAGATGGTGTCCTTAATGACAGGGGAATTACAAGTATTGGGCAGACCCAAGAGAAGGGGTCTGCCCAGTACTTGATATATGTAGAAAAAGGACACTGTAATAATGCAAAGTGAATCACTGAAGCAAACAAGTTATGTTAAAATTTCAGTACCTCTGCCTACTTCAGCAAATCCTACCAGCATACGCCACCAAGTTGTAGAGATGGAGGAGTGATGAGCAAAGGGGTCAAGACTATTCTGGGGAAACCACAGAAACTGCTGACCTGAGCAAGGGGGAGCTCACAGACCCCAGTCTGACAGCTGGGGAACCAACATAGGACTGAACCAGGCCCCCTGAGCGTGGTGTCAGCTAGGAGCACTGGGCGTCTATGGGGCCTGTGACAGTGGAACCAGTATTTATCCCTAGTGTATGAATGGATTTTGGGAGCCTATTCCCCATAGAGGGATACCCTCACAGCCTAGACTCATGGGGGAGGGCCTAGGTCCTGCCCCAAATGCTATGACAGACTTTGATGATCCCCCATGGAAGGCCTTATGCTCCCTGAGGAGTGGATGCGGAGGTGGTAAGGGGGGCATCAGTGGCCATGGGAGGAGGGGAGGGAGAGGGAACTGGGATTGATATGTAAAACAAGCTTGTTTCTAATCCAAATAAAAAAGGGGAAAAATAAAATAAAATTCCAGTACCTCTGTATATGTAAAGTCGATATAGATATCAATGAGAAAATCTCGGTGGATCTTCTAGCACTTGCGTACCCACAGTTGTTCTTTGGTTCTTCTTTTTCTAGAATATAGGGGCTAAGTATTGCTACTTGATGAAAGCCAAAAAAAAGGGGGGGGGGAGGGTGGTGACGGGAATAGGGCCTCTTGGGTTAGGGAAAAGGTGGGAGTAATAGAAAAACAGTTCTGCATTCTAGGCTGAGTTCTATCGACAAGAAGCAAATGCCTGGAGCAGGTCAGTGCCCTGGGCTCTTTCCTCTCCTCTGCCATGAAGATGGGGAAGTACCAGCAGTGTGCTCGGTAGCCGTGTGTACCACAGACTGGGAGTAGTGGGCCCTTCCGATACTCTCCAGTGCGACCAAAGAGAGCGCGCGTGCGCACCGCAGCTCCTCTACCTCAAAGGGGGCAAGTCTGCACCTGAAACCACGCCCAAAGGGTGTGGCCACCACTACTATTCACTGGCAAGGCAAGATGCTGCTATACCAAGGATGCACCTGGGCGTGGTGGCATGTGCCTGCAGCTCCAGCTACCCAAGCACTACACAGAGGATGTTTGAGCCTCAGGAGTTCAAGGCCAGCTGGGTAATATCATCATCGTCGTCATCATCATAGTAATAATATTCTGACTAGAGGTGAAATTCCACAGTTCTATAATTTGCATATTTAAGATTTACAGGTATTGATGATAACCAGTTATATCTGGGACCCCAATACACCCTACATGAGTAGGCACTTAAGATCCCTTTACTGTTTAAATAGATGTTTACCTAATAAGTGTATAACTTTTACAATGATCTATTTATAATAAAACATATTTTTTGTTCTGATTCTGGTATATTTTTTAGAAATTGCATCATCTCTCCACTTTTTAAATAAACAGCACTATCTAGTTGGATGTTTAGACTCTAGTACAAAATAAAGTCTCAATAAATATTCATGGATAGATAAGTGGTCAAGCTCTCTGTTTTAAAAAAAAACAGAATTTACTCATTCTCTTGTAAGCAATTTAATCCTCACATATATGGGAAGGAGTTCTTTTTAGACTTTGATTCACTGGAACATTGAGAATACTAAACAGGATAATAGTTTATAAATCAAGGTTTCAAGTCTTTAAATTGTAACTGATAATGGAATCCCTCTTTGTCTTCTCTAAGATGAAGAAATGTGATATACATCATTTATTATATTATTTCCAGGGTGCTTTGTTAAGTGCTGTCTAAATACGCCGGCTGTGTTACTATTGATCTTGTATTCCACTATCAACAGTCTCCTAATGCCTGTCAGCTTTGCCAGCCTCAGAATAATGATAAAATTATGTCATCCATTTTTGATCTTTTGACTATCCAGTGTTCATTCTGGAAACCACATCCCCGTGTTGCTGGGCAGCTGGACTCTCAGGCAGAAGCCCTGGGATATATAGTTTTGCCTTTGACAACTCCAAGAAACTGATCAAAACAGATCACCCCCATGAACCTGAATCCTGTTCTGAAACATGAACTCTGTGTTGAAACAGAGTAATTAGACTAAAACAATAGTCACATTTTTTGATCCCAGCTGTGAATCTGATGACATTTTTACCTATTGCCTAAATTCACTTTTCCCTTTCTCTTCTGAAAATATTTTTAGATGCTACCAAGGCACACAGAATTATTTTTTGCTTTAAACAACAACAAACAGCAGGAGCAGATGTCAGTGTCCCCTAGCACTTTGAAACATCAGGTCACTTGCGCGATGCACTCTTCCTTCTGTGATCTGAGGCAACCCCCTCCCTTGATGTGACCCAGATATAATATCTGTTTTGTCACAATGTAAGAAAGTATCATTGGTAATCATTGTGTGATGGTCTCAGCTTAGGCGTCACCAAGCCCGTGGTTGTGCACTTAGGAACAGTATGCCATGTTGGACCCTGCTGTGAGGCCAGAGACCACATTATTAGGAATAATGCCAATTTTTACTCCTTTTTAACCGTAGTTAGTTGTTGTGTTATGAATAAAACATATAGTTGCCAGGAAGTGACTACAATCTTGTGTATATGCTGCAGCTTACAAAACCATATGTTTGCTATGTGTACTTTATTGCTTCTTTTAAAAAGATTTATATTTATTATTTTCAATTATGTGTTTTTGAGGGGGGTGTCTGTGCACATGAGTGCAGGTGCCTATAGAGGCAAGAGGTATCAGATCCCTGGAGCTACATGACGGATGGCTTTATTACTCTTTAAAGAGAACATAAGTGATAGTTATAGACAAGCATTTTGTAGGATATCGAACGTATTTATAATAGTGAAATGATTTCTTTTCTGGTTGATTTGATTTTCTGAGGTTCAAAAACAGTATCATCACAGGAACCAGCACGTGGGTTTCCTATGTAGCTCTTCATCTCACATCATTCAATTTAATGACTGCTGGTGTCAGTTTTTTTTTTTTTTTATGAGATCAGTCCCTCAGTGTGTTTCTGTTCAAATGAGTCATCATGTCTAATTATTGCATTTGTTATCTTCCAGACAGTTGAACATCACATACCAAGAGTGACATCTGGTTAACAATGTCAGTAACAACAGCAACCTGAAGGTTGGATCTCCTTCTGTGTTGGAAGTGGGGGCAAGAATGGAAGAGTGATCATCCAAGGTAAAACCTCATCCCCTCATAAAGCACCCTTCTATAGTGCCCTCTTAAGATGCCCGGTGGTACAACTTTGCTCTTTCAAAAGGGTCAGATATTTCTAACCTACAATTCCAGAGCTATTGATAGGCTGCTGAACCTTGGTTACCTGTACAGATTTCGAGGAAGGTGGAGTCCGCATGTGTGGTAATCATTGTTGTCAATCTGGAACATCAGATCAGGCAAATGGGATTTTCAGGAGTCTCTGGGCTAAGTATACTGGACTTGGGGTTAAGTGTCGAATAAAAGAAATAGATGTTATTGAAGATGTGGGTGTAAAGATTTCACTGGACCTAAGATAAATGACAAATGGGTGTATAGTGGGGAACACTTACACAGATAAATATAAAGAACTGCAGGAGTGCTTCTCTGCCTTCCTAAAGGATCAGCTGACCCAAGAGAAAGACCTTGCAAAAAGAAGCCACCCCTCAAGTTTCCCTCTTTCTGCTTCCATAGGCCTGAAGCCACGCCCAAAGGGGTGAGGTCAGCATTACTGGTTCACCAGCAAGACCGTGACATGGCTTAGCACCCACTTTAAATTTTTCTTCTCATGCTGTACAAATTCACATTGATTATCACGGGCATGTCCACTGTGATCCAGATCTGGTAAGAAAGGAAAGAAGGCTGAAACCCATGCCTCAGTCTCCACATTCTTCCTTTCATTTTGTGCTCTGTCAGGAGGGAAAGAAAGACCACAGAACGTGCAAGTTAAGTGTATTCTATGAGTAAGAGCGGGTCAGAAGGGGTTAATGTTGCTGAGTATGCTAGCGAGCTACCCTCCTGTTTCAGTTACTTGTGCAACAAAGACCAGGCCTTGAAATGGCTATTTACTGGGGAAATGATCCACGAATCATGATTGGGAATGACTGGGCCTGCTTTCTGGTACATGATGTAATTTTCCGCCAAGCAGAGGATAATAAGATTGCGTCTAGACTGAATGACATACTAACATTCTGTCTCAAAAAACAAAATGAAATAATGAAATAGACGCATATGGAGTGAATCGGCGTGGGCAAGAACATGGGTGTGTTAGCAAATCTACGCGGGCATCATGGGAACTTCAGAGGCCGTGCATGGCGGTGTGGATGCTGTCCGGGATATTCGCCTGAAAGGCCTACAGTGGGAGGGTCTCTCACTCTCTGGGTCTGCCACCCAGGCAATGAACTCCCCCACAGTTCCAGGCTGTGTTAGCAGCGCCTGAGGCAGGAGGCAGAACACTTAGTTATCAATGGAGACTGACATAAAGGCAAAGAAAACCCCATGAGGAACGGAAATGCCCATCTCCAAAGCTATGGCTGCAATAGCGCATGGTCCAGAGGTCAGTATTCAGCCAGTCAGGGACAGTGGCACCCCCTTTTGCTTGATTTTGAAACTTGTCATTGTTCTCCCTGCCGGAGAACAAAGTGCTTCTTCGTGTTATAAAGTCCTTTCCAAGTGTCATGGGAGCCAAGACGAATTATTTCAAAGTGAGCTTTTACCATTGGATCTGTGCTCACAGTGAGGCATACCATGTTTTTTGTTTGTATGTATGTCTGAGGTTTCTGAGTGTGGTGAGCATTTTAGGAAGAGTTATAAAGTGTAATGTGATAACATTTGGTGTTACTTTCACAGTTACTGGGTATTGTCCCATTTGAGGATAGTGTGCAGTCAAGTATATTCTCTTCTGTTCAAGCAAGTATTCTCTCTCTCTCAATTGCTCTCTCTCTCTCTCTCTCTCTCTCTCTCTCTGTGTGTGTGTGTGTGTGTGTGTGTCTGTCTGTCTGTCTGTCTTTACACACACACACACACACACACACACACACACACATCTCTCTTTAGAGGATAATTTGAAGGAGTCGGTTCTCTCTCATTTCACCACACTCAGTAAATGGTCCATTTACCTCACATCCCTTTCTTCTTTTTTTAACATTACAATGTTAAACAATAAAATAAAGCTGCATAAAAAGCTGAGTGGTTTTGTTAGAATCTGTAAAATAACACTACAAGTTGTGACTAGAAAGGAGAAGCAATTACTTACATGATGAGCAGACAATAGCAAACATCTCAGCTGTTGCACTGATACCAATGATGCGGCAGATGGCAAGGCAGAAAAGCCAAAAGAGGAGACAGAACCAGACCAGAGTTGACAAGACTTCACTCAGAAGGAACCTTATCCTAAGCACAAGATTTGAGCAGAGTGGATGTCCCAGAGACTCTGAGAATTGGCAGATTCTGCCTCTTTGCTGAGCTTACAGTCACCTCTCACTGGATTTCCACTCTGTAGTTTCCTGAGTCTTCAGAGTGAACGTTCTGGTTCTGTTGGGTTTTAGCTCAGACCATAGTCTCAGATTCACCAATCCATTGTCATAATATAAAACTTGCCACTCAGTTTGCCAACCTCCTTTTACTCGTTGATGTCACTCACCTGTGGTCTAAACTAGAAAGTAGTTTCTGTGGTTTATCAAACTTGCAATGCTTGTGAAGGTCTGTGGTGGTTAGACATAGATCGCGTAGGGTGAGCTCACATGTGCATTTTTAACAGTCTTTAAGAGGAGGCTAGCCTGTTTTTCCTGAGACCTGACTTGGAGAACAGCTCTAAAAATGGGATGATCAGGGCTAGCACTGTAATGACCAGGCTACAGTGGGAGTTAGAGAGAGAATGGACTTCCTTGCCAGCTCACACTTTGGAGAGTTGTATTAGCTTCAGACAGGATCTGAGTCATGGCATGGAATGACATTTAATAGCTGAGCGTGGTGGTACATGCCTTTAATCCCAACACTGGGATCGCAGTGGCAGGTGGGCCTCCTAGATCAAAGTCAAACTGGTCTACAGAGTGTTCCAGGCCGCCAGCCAGTGCTACATAGCAAGAAACTGACTCAAAAATGAAAATACATAACATTGCTTTTCTTAAAAATTAATTTATCTTTATTTTATTTGTATGAGTGTGTGCCTGTATCGGTGCAGTGCCCATCGAGGCCCGAGGAAAGTGTCAGATCCCCTGGAGTGGAGTTACCGATAGTTGTGAGCACCCATGTGCGTGATGGGAACCAAACCCAGGTCTTCTGCAAGAGCAGCAAGCTCTCTTAACCCCTGAGCGGTTGCCCCAGTGCTGAAATCAGATCTTAATATCATAAAATTTTGAATACTAAGTTCTCAGATATATTTTCTATACCATACTACATTATAAACTTTGGAGATTCATAAATATTGGATGGATGGATGGATGGATGGATGGATGGATGGATGGATGGATGGATGGATGGATGGATGGAGCATGGATTCAGCAACAAATAACTTCTTAGAAAGAAATCTCTGTGGTACATTATGCCTAGAAAGCCAGATTTCCTTTGCATGGAATCATCCTTCTAAGGGACACTTGACACCGAGGGCATCTTAATAGAGGCCAAGCTCTGTCTATTCAGTGTGTGAGCTGCCGGGTGTCCCTAGCACTGCGCTCTTCAATAAGCCAAGCTCTTCACAAAAGCCTTTTTGCTATCTGATTGAATGCAATGAGAGAAATGTCATTTTTATCAAGACAAATTGTACATTTGACTTTATGAAAGAGCCACTGGGTGTGTGAAACTGGGAAATCACACCAATTTAATAAATTCCTTTGTAAAACCTGTCTTCCTTGAGTTTGGAGTTTGCAGCTGCAGCATGGTCTGAATATTTATTCTTACCAAGGACAAAAGCGCTTTCTGATTTCTGCAGTGAAATGTGTTCATTACCAATGGTGCATGTTTTCTGTCTGCATCTTTATCTGCATTTCTCAGACCGTGATTGGGTTGGTAAATTTATTCCACTTTGCTTGCTAAAATAACTGTCTGTTTTCTGCTTACTCTTTGATTTATTCCAGATAGTGTGTTCAATGCCTACTTTCAAAGCTCAATGTTAATTTTATTCTGTATATTTTAAAACCAAAGTCCCACATATTTTTGCTCCTATATATTCTGTTGTGTATTAAACTTGAAAATACACCCAATAATTTCATTGGAAATAATTTCAATTAAATTTGAAAATGTTTACAATTATATGTTATCATAATTTAGCATAGTGGATAGTGGATGATGAACATGAGTCCTTGAAAATGTATCTTTACAAATGTATTTCATAATTCATTTTAATAGTGGAAAATTTAGTAATTTCATTTTATTTTATAGCATCTCTCATGTTAAAGCTAAAAAGTTAATTAAAGTGTAATAATATTAACTTCAGCTTTGCTATTTTGAGGGCGTGTTTACCTGGCTGAGTCCTAGACTTATTTTCTCAATTAGAAGACAGAGAGTTTACAGCAGTGCTGGGGGATGCACCAGCGGGTAAAATACTTGTTACATAAACATGAGGGCTAGAGTTCAAATCTCCACAACATATGCATAAGTAGATGTAGTAGCTCGTGTCTACAATCCCAACACTCATGGTGAGATGAGAGACAGAGACAGGAGAATCCTGGGAAACTCTTCATGGGTACATAACTGTGTACACACACACACACACACAGAGAGAGAGAGAGAGAGAGAGAGAGAGAGAGAGAGAGAGAGAGATACAAACACACACACACAGAAGACACATACACACACAGATAAAGAGAGACAAACACACATACATACAGAATGTGAGAATCAGACAGACACACATACACAGAGAGAGAGAGAGAGAGAGAGATACAAACGCACACACAGAGAGAAGACACATACACACAGAGATAAAGAGAGACAAACACACATACATACAGAGAGACAGACACACATACACACAGAATGTGAGAATCAGACAGACACACAGACAAACACAAATACACACAGAGAGAGATACAGATATACATGCATACAAACACACACACACACACAGAAAGAGAGAGACAGACACACAACACACATACATACACACAGAAACAGACAGACACGCATACAAACACAGAGAGAGAATGAGACAAACAGGCACACATGAGAGAGAGAGAGAGAGAACACACAGTTTTAAGAGGGAAGGG